TGTGTGTGTGTGTGTGTGTGTGTGTGTGTGTGTGTGTGTGTGTGTTTAAAGATTTTATTTATTTATTTGACAGAGACAGAGATCACAAGTAGGCAGAGAGGCAGGCAGAGAGGGGAGAAGCAGGCTCCCCACTGAGCAGAGAGCCTGATGCGGTGCTCGATCCCAGGACCCTGAGATCATGACCTGAGCCGAAGGCAGAGGTTTTAACCCACTGAGCCACCCAGGCACCCCCAGAGATGGTTTTCTAAGCCATTTTTCAATATTAGCTAACCAGAAGGATTTTTTCCAAAATCTTTTTGATGGGAATAAATATTTTGTCATGTATCCACTCATTCACTTGTCTATGTAGTCAACCAATTTTTATCAAGGCTTGTGTGTTTTCTAAAAACCCCTATAGGATATGTTCTAGGAAACACAGAGCTACAAAGAGAAAGCCTCTAGTTAGTCGCCTCAGTCTTTTTGAATGGGGCAGCATGTAGGCAGGGAGTGATCCCTACCCTCCATTTATTTACAGACAGATATGTAGGAAAGATATGTAGGAAAGATATGTAGGAAATATGTAGATATGTAGGAAAGATGATGTAAAAGCTGTATGTGACAAATGTTGCTGTATGTGACAAATGTTGTGCTACAGGAGTGAAGAAACAATTCATTCTGGGTATATCAGGAAACATTTCACAGGGAAAAAAAACAACACATACCTGAACTAGATTGTGAATAATGATTAGAATTTTAGAGAAGAAAAAGAGATGGAAAATGCATTTCAGATTGAGGGAACAGCTTGAGCACAGGCATAAAAACACCAATATGTGTGGCAAATTTAGGAAAATGGTCATCATCTAGTGAGAAACGAATGCAGTGTGCATGGAAATACAGGAGCAGGATGCCTAAAGGAACAGACAGGTTATGTTGCCTGAGACATGAACTGGAAGCCACGCAAAGTTTGTGAAAAGGAACAAGTTTCCCTCATGTTTCAGGAAGACATTATTTTAGGCAGTGTGATAACCTAAGAATCATGGGCTTTGATGTTAAGCTGACCTAAACTTGAATCTTATCTTGTACACACTAGAAGAGTCATTTGGGGCAAGTCACTTAACTGCTCTATTTTCAGTTTCATCATATCAGACCAGAGTTAATGAATGAGCAAAGCATACTTGCATGGCACATAGGAGAGGTTAAATAAATTGTAGGTACTGTTGTTGTTCTTGTTGTTGTTATTATTTTAAAGATTTATTTACTTATGAGAGAGAGGACATGACAAGTCAGGGGAGGAACAGAGGGAGAGGGAGAATCTCAAGCAGACTCCCTGTTGACTGTGGAGCCTAATGTGGGGCCTAATCTCAGGACCCTCGAGACCATGACCTGAGCCAAAATCAGGAGTCGGACACATAACCAGCAGATCCACCAGGTGCCCAGTATTATTACATTTATGGCAATATGGAAGGTGTATTAGCAAGGTAGAATATTGAATATATGGGCTAATTCAGGGACTGAAATGGCATCTAGGTGAGGAGATGAGAGCCCCCAAATAAACAATGACTGTAGAAACAGAAATGGCTGAACATAAGATATTGGCATCTAGTGGGCAGAGGCCAAGAATCCTACAATGTACAAAACAGTTATCAAAAATGAAGATTTATTGGGCCCAAAGTTCAGTAGTGCTCAGGGTGGAGAAAGCTTGTATTAATGGATAGAGATCAAAGAACAGGTTGAATGACCTTTCCTCATTTTTTAAAAAATATAAACTATTTAAAACATATTTAAACTGTAATAAACACCCACATACTTATTACTAAAATTTAAGAAATAATTCATAACATGGTTCATTGACATCAAGGACAAAGAGGTGGAACCATGAGTCTGAATAATTCTTGAGAAACACTGTAGCCCTGTATGACAAAGAATCAGCTGTATCTGATGGAAGAGTACTTAAATATCTTCAGGTAAAAGTCCTTTGCTCCCCCTTCATGGAACTTTAAAATGGAAAGTTTCTGAAAGCAATCATTTGTTAAGAGTAAGAATTTTCTCTTTGGCTCATTAAGCAATATTAACGAATATCATTAAGATAGCATAGTATCTGGAAAAGAAAGAAAAATTGCAGTATGCTATAAAGAAAACTTTCAGTAAGTGAAGTGTGACATTTCATGGGGACTTTGCTTAAATGGAATCAGACAGAGAACCTAATCTAGTTTTACATGACCCTCATAGTTCCATCAAAATATGACATTGGGGAAGGATTCAGTCTTAGCATGGGCAGGACCCCAAGTCTGTATATTTCCACTACACATGTGAATCCTCCCCTAAAGTGCCACAAACATAAATGATTAAAATTAACTGACTCCTTCAGGTTTTTAGTGAACATTAATGCTTATGAGTTAAGTAGAGAAATACAGACAAGGCAGGTCAGACAGGCTTATGCCCCAGCAAAGGGACTGCTCCTGTAATCAGGCCAATTCAGATTCATACCACAACAAATTTATAAGAACTACAGCAAATTCACGAGAATCTCTCTTGGGCAGGTATGAAATCTACACATGCCAAGGATCCATCGTATAACTATTACATCACTGTACTTACAATGGCTCCCTTCTTTGATCCATGCCTGCCTAGCCACTCAAATCTTGTTATATTTACATGTGTATAAAGGAGATTTGCATTTCTTAAAGATTTGTTTATTTATTTATTTTAGAGAGAGAGCACAGGGAGGAGGAGAAGAGGGAGAGAGAAACTTAAGCAGACTCCATGCTGAGCTCAGAGCCCCATGCAGGGCTCAATCCCACAACCCTGAGATCAGGACAGCAGCTGAAACCAAGAGTTGGATGCACAAGCTACTGTGCCACCCAGGCGCCCCTAGGACGTGCATTTTTAATTCAAAAGAATCCAGCTGCCTTATGCAGAATTTTATGTGGATTGTGATGTCAGTGGTTTAACATGCTCATGTAAAGCTCTGAAGTTGTGTTTGTTCAATACACACTACATTTTTTATTATTATGCTCAGTTAGCCAACACATAATACATCATTAGTTTTTGATGTAGTGTTCAACAATTCATTAGTGTATTACATTTTTTGAAGATTTTACTCATTTATTTATTTTATAGAGAGAGTACAAGAAAGAGCAAGGGGAGGACCAGAAGGAGAGGGAAAGGGAGGAGGAAAGAATCTCAAGCAGATTCTGGGCTGAGCAGAACCCTTCACAGGGCTTAATCCCAGGACCATGAGATCATGACCTGAGATGAAACCAAGAGTTGGATGCTTAACTGACTGTGCAACCCAAGTACCCCAACGATACATATGTTTATTGAGCATGTAAAACATGGCTAGTCTAAATAGAGATACATTGCAAATGTAAAAAAATGTGGAATTTCAAGGACTCACTTAAAAAAAAAAAACAGAATATCTCATTAATTTTATTACATTGATTACACATTAAAATTATACTATTTTGGATATCTTGGGTTGAATAAAATATATTATTAAAACCAATCTTCCTTTTTCTTTTTCCTTTTTAAGTGCAGCTCCTAGAAAATATAAAATTAAATATGTGACTTGCATTATATTTCTGTTGGATGGTGTTAACCTACAGCTTACCCTTACACATCTAGCCATTTTTAAGAATAGATACATTCTAATTCAGACATACTGTAATGTAATAGGCATGGTATGGAACCAGACATTCGGACACCAGTTTTCCAGAGAAATAGCTTTAGACTGTATACTCAATAAAAGGCACTGTGTTAGATTACACTGTGCTAGCGGTGCCTGGGTGGCTCCGTTGGTTAAGCGCTTGCCTTTAGCTCAGGTCATGATCTCAGGATCCTGGGATCCAGCCCTGCATCAGGCTCTCTGCTTCCCCTTCTCCCTCTGCTGCAGGCACCCCAACAATACATATGTTCATTGAGCATGTGAAACATGGCTAGACTAGCCCCTGCTTGTGCACTCCTTCCCGTCAAATAAAAAAATACAATCTTAAAAAAAATAAAAAGGATGGACATTGGGGAGGGTATGTGCTATGGTGAGTGCTGTGAAGTGCATAAACCTGGCTGTTCACAGACCTGTGCCCCTGGGGCTAATAATACATTATATGTTTATTAGAAAAATTTTTAAAAATTATTAAAAAAAATAAAATAAAATAAAATAAAAAGGATTACACTGTGCTAGAGTAGGAGTTGTCCTATTCATGATAGAGGTTTTGCCCAGGAAGGAGTAGCTGTAGTCCTACTTCCTTGAGACTGGAACTGATGCAATCAATTATGAAAGATATTATTTTTGAATATGTACATACATGTGATCCCTGGGCACAGAAGGAATAAGTCTAAGCATTCTTAAGGCAAGAGTTATACTTGGTTAGACAATTTTTTGGTAGGTAAATAATTACAGGTAGGAAAAGAAAGCTACAATATCTGTCTCCTCAAAATTCATTATGTCCAAATTCCATGCTGAAAGGTATTTAAAAATGATTGGGAAATAATGTGTCAGAAAAGCATTTCAGTCAAGGATAGAAGTATTCTAATACATCTATTATCTATTGCTGCATAACAGTCTTACTATAAATTTAGTGGCTTAAAACAAGACACACTTACTATCTTTGTTTTGTGAGGTTAATATTAGAATACAGCTTAACTGGGTCCTCTGCAAGAGGCAATCAAGGTATTGGCTACAGCTGAATTTTCACCCAAGATTTGACTGAGGGATCTACTGCTAGACTAATGTGGTTGTTGGCAGCATCTAGTTCCTTCCAGAATGTCAGACTAAGATCTTCAGTTTCTTGCTAGCTGCTGGCTAAAAGCTGCCCTCCATTTCTGATTCTGTGATTTTCTCCTTAGGGAAGCTCACAACACAGCAGCTTGCAAGAAAATTTTTCAGTAAGATGTTATAAGCTTAGTAAGTAATCACACCCAGGTGACCAAGTACATCCCATTACCGTTACTGTGTTCTACCTGTTAGAAGCCAAGTCACAGATACCACCCATACTCAAGGGAAGGGGATTACGAAGGGCACGAATACCAGGAGGTAGAGATCACAGGGCCTCCTTACAGTCTGCCCAATCAAAAATAAGCCAATCTCTGGCTTAGAGATAAAAACTAGGATGAGGTTATCACAGTGGTGCCCAAAGGATGTCAGGACCATTTTAGTTAATATGTTTCAAATGATCTGGAAGAGAGGTGAATTCATTTCATTTGGTTAGACAATTTTTTGGTAGGTAAATAATTACATTTGGTTATTTCCAGTGAAAATAATTTTCCAGATAGTGCATGTCACTGAGAACAAGTAAAGAAAGACTGGTAAATGGAATCACAAGCAGCAACAGTAGCAGCATCATTGGCAGGCAGTATGTGGACTTACATCTGAGAACCATGGCACAGAAGCAATAATTGGAACAGTCTTGGTAGAGTCTCAGAGCAAGACAAGGTGGCTCCCTTCATGAGTGTCAGGTAATGCTGCCCAGAGAAGTTAGCAACAGTGGAGGAAAACATGCTGGTCAGACCCACAGCAAGAGAAAAGTGGGTGCATGGTGAAGTTTCTCAGAGATTCAAAAAAACTTTCCAGTGAAAAGCCAGACAAGATAGACTCTGTGACTACTTTAAAAGAGGCAGAAAGAGGAGCACCTGGGTGGCTCAGTTGATTAAGCATCAGACTCATGATTTCAGCTCAGGTCATGATCTTGGGATTGTGAGACCAAGCCCCACATTGGACTCCATGTAGGGCCTGAAGCCTACTTACAATTCTCTCTCTGCCCCTCCCCCCACTGCTCATACACATTCTCTCTCAGAAAAAAAAAATTAAAAATTAATAAAAGAGACAGAAAGATAAAAAGATTTGTATTTGACTTAATAAGACAGGGGTATTTGATACGTACAAAGTTGACTAGGCCATAGTATGTGGCTCTCAAAGCTCAGAAAAGATAACCAATTGGTTAGTTTCTTGCTGATTGATTACAGACTCACTTCTTTTTTTTAGATTTTATTTATTTATTTGAGGGAGAGAGAGAGAGAACAAGTGGAGAAGGGGCAGAGGGAGAAGCAGGCTCCCTCCCGAGCAAAGAGCCCGATGTGGGGCTCAATCCCAGGACTCTGGGATCATGACCTGACCTGAAGGCAGACGCTTAACCGATGGAGCCACCCAGGTGCCCTTAGACTCACTTTTTTTCTTTTTTAATTAACATATATAATGTATTATTTGTCCCAGGGGTACAGGTCTGTGAATCCTCAGGCTTACACATTTCACAGCACTCACTATATCACATACCCTCCCCAGTGTCCATAACCTAGCCACCCTAGACTCACTTTAATACCGCAATTCTCATAAATTAAACTCTACTGTGTTTTGGTATCTACCCTCATTTGTTTTCAACAAATATTTGTTGAGCAGTTTTTGTGCTAGGAAATGCTCTAGGGACTTGGAATACAATGTGAAAAAACAAACAGGTAAGGTCTCTACTGTCGGAGAGTTTATAATAGTGGGAAAGGTGGACATTGGATGAATAATTACATAAATAACTATATAGTTATTTTTAGTGACAGTTATAAAGAACAAGAATAGAGCACTTTGAGAAAAGTATAACAGGGGAATCCAATCTAGCCTGTAGGATCAGGATTAAAAGAAAATTGACATTCAAGCTGAGATCTGACGAAGTTTCCCCACCAAGAGGTGGTGAAAAAACAAGGAAGCAGAGGAAACATTAAGAAGGTCCTGAGATGGAAAAGAGTTTGAGGGGTATGGAAGGAGGAAGGAGGTATATATAGCTGGGGGCATGGTGAACAAGAGCTCAAAATGACTGACAATTATATAGGCCCTGGAAAATCATGTTAAGGATTTAAAAATTTTATCTTAAGGGCAAAGAGAAGCCACTTAAAGATTTTAAGCAGAGAAATGACTGCTATGGTAACCCCTCTACTCCATTCTTATATAGAATCCTAACCCTCAAAGGTGATGGTTATTAGGAGGTGGGGACTTTGGGAGATGATTAGGTCATGAGCCCTCCTGAATAGGATTAGTACCTGTAGAAAAGAGATTCCAGAGAGATCCCTAGCCCTTCAACCCTGTGAGGGCACAGTGAGAAGGTGCAGACTATGAACTAGGAAGAAGTCCTTTACCAGAAGGCCTTGATCTTGGACTTTGAGGCCTCCAGAACTGTGAGCAATAAATTTCTGTTGTTTATAAGCTAGTCTGAGGCATTTTGTTATAGAGCCAGAGCAGGCCAAGATAAGTAACATACTGTGATTTCTCATCAAACTGTCACTCTCATAGCTGTTGAGGATTGGATTGGAGAAGAGGCAAGTGTGAATAAGGAATAGCCAGTGAAGACTTTCAGTCATCCAGAGAGACACTTGTTGGCTTGGACTAGGGCAATGACCATGAAGATGGAGAGAGGTAGACAAATTCATCAGAAAGGTCACTGATTAAATGTGAAGTACCCTTCACAAAGAGATGGGAGTTTCAAGCATGACAACCAGATTTCTAGCATGAGCAACTGGATAGATAGAGTTACCATTTACTGATAAAAGGAAAAACTAAATGGGAATAGATTTGTGGAGAAGTTCAAGAGGCTTCAGTTAAAAGATGCAAGATGCTCCTTTCTTTTGCCTGTGGTGGTGATGGTAATATTTTGTTTGTTTGTTTGTTTGTTTGTTTTCTTTAAATTCAAGTTAGTTAACATATCATGTATTATTAACTTCAGGGTAGAATTTAGTGGTTCATCAGTTGCATAAAACACCCAGTGCTCGTTACATCAAATGCTCTCTTTAATGCCCATCAGCCCATTACGCCAATTTTAAAAGATTGTACTGATTAGGTAACAACTGAAATACATGGTTTTTGCTTTTCAATACAAAATATGACTTAACAGTTAGGAGGCAGAGTACATCTGCTACAGAAGTAGACCATGATGTTACAGAGAAATCCTTGGACTTTTTCTACCATTTATTTCTGAATGGAAATACAAATGAAACTCTTTAGTTTGGCAATGTTCTCCATAATCAACTCTGGCAAGGTAGTACTAAGCAAATGAAGTATGCCTAGTTACCCTTACGGATGCAATAGCTACCCAAAAGGTAAAACCTTTCAAACTAGGACCAAATAATTCTTTTCAAAGTTTGTAGAACACAAATTAAAATCATGAGTGACCAAATATTGCTCTTTTAAATATAATAGAAGACTATTTCTGAGCTCTTGTCCAATTATCTGAGGATAGCAAGTATCTATTTCTCTAAAATAAATAAATAAATTAAGCTTATTCTGCCAACATTATTATTATGTTTCACTGTGATACCCATGGTGGGTGACCATATTTTGAATCTATCTTCTGTATTAACATTTTATAAAATTGATTCATTCATTATGTTTTGCTTTTCCGTGAGAGGGTTGGCCTCTTGAGCCAAACATTGTGTTAGAAGTTGCGCTATGTCAAGGTGCCTCTGTGGCTCCGTCTGTTAAGTGTCTGCCTTCAGCTCAGGTCCTGATCCCAGCATCCTGGGATCTAGCATCTGGGCTCCCTGATCACTGGGAAGTCTGCTTCTTC